TGAAAGTGCCCATGGGGGTGCCTCCTAGCTCCCTAGCTTCATTTGATGGGGGTTTCAGTTGAGAGGACAGTGCAGGCATGCATTCTCAAATGTCCGGTAGGCAGATCCTGGAAACAATGGGAGCTGTGTCTTTTCCATGCTTGCTTGTCCAGCTAGGAAGAGTGATAAGACAGGAGAGGAGGGGCGAGGACTTGGCAGGAAGGAGTCCCCAAGGCTAACTTCAGAAGGCCTCAGTGATGTCTTCTCCCGCTCAGACCAGCCGAGTGTGGAGACACTCCCAAGGGCTCCTAGCTTCTGTGCAATTGTGCTCAGTCTTTGGTTGACCATAGAGCTGCACACAGAGATGGGTGATCTGTATGAATCCAGGCTGGAAACTAGAGCACGGGGCAGAGACCAGGTGACTGTGCAGTCAGGAGGAGTCAGAGCTGTGGATCTGTGCCAGGCCCTGAAGACAGTGCCGCAGCGCCAGCAGCTCGGGGAAGAAAAGCTAAAGTCAGAGTTGCCAGCAGGATGTTGTCTAAAAAGCACAGTTTTCAACAACAGTTTTATGAGATATGCAAACAAGAAGGTTGACCCATACTCAGGAGAAAACACATCTAGCAGAAGCCGCCTTAGATAGAGGCCCAGATGATAGATTTAGCTGGTAAACATTTCAAAGCAGCTATTATGGATATGTTCAAAGATTAGAATAAAACCATATTAGAGAATTAAGAGGAATTATGATGACAGAGAGTTAACAAATACACAGTCTCAGTAGAGAAATAAAACTATTTTTAAAAGACCTCAGAGACGGTCTTGGCACATCTTCACTCTATCACTGGTGGAAGTAAATGAGTGTTTTCCTCAACAAATACACACGTCTCCGTTTCCTCTGCTCCGAGATCCTGACTCCCTGGGTCTGGAGTAGAGCTGCAAGCTGTGCCCTCTTAGAAGATGTTACCGGTGACTCTTCTGGCGTGATCCCATTCAGTGATACGTATTCTAGGATGGCCACTTGTGAATAAAAGTCATGTAAAGGAAGAAGTGGCGTTAAGAAATGACAGCCACACCCATGGCGATTGCTGTCTGTAACTCAGGAAGAACAAGGAGTCACTGCGTGTGGTTTTGCCAGGAATATGTTTTTTGTCATTCGTTGGTTTTCCTTAGTGAAAACCCTGAGTTTTACTGAAGATGTTCTGACTTCTTGTGACCTTATATGTCAAGTATCAAGAGGTTAACATTCACTCAAGTTTTCATGGAAGCAATGTGGGGTGACTGAAGGAGGCACAGATCACCTTTTTCTTAAAAATGTGTATGAAGTTTTCTGTAATTGACATCTCTGTGTTTTCTCCTGCCCCATAAGTCTTTGGTTAAAATAGCTAATCCAGAGAGGAGCTGTCCTGTGACAAAGGAACTCTGTCTAGTTTATAAGACACTTTTGAGAATTTTCTGGACAGTTCCTTATCATCTGCATTGTCCCTCCACACTGCATCCAATGCCTGATGTCCACAGCTCAGAGAAGTAGAGCGGATGCTTTATTGATTGGGGGTCCCTAGGAAAAAAATTGAAACATTGTTGTATGATATTTTGTTTGTGTTCTGACAAATAAAGTTTGCCTAGACATCAGAGAAGCAGAGCAGCAGCCACTAGAGACTTTTTACCTCTATGAATTCTCTGATTGAATGGGGGTCAAGATCCTGTCTCCACCCATCTTATATTCCATAGTGCTGTGATTAAAGGTGTGCCCCATCACTACCTGGCTCTGTTTCTCTCTTAGACTGGTTCAATATCCTGTAGCCCAGGGTGGCCTTGAACGCCTGATCTTCATGCTTCCTCCTTCCAAGTGCTGGGATTAAAGGTGTGTGCCACCACTGCCTGGCCTCTATGGTTAACTAGTGGCTCGCTCTGCCTGCTGATCTCCAGGAAAGCTTTAATTGTCAGAGCACAAACAAAATATCATACAACAAAACATCATGCATATGTTTAGAAGGATTGTTTAGACTCATAACCTGGGAAAATCTCACACAATTTTTAACTAATTTTATTTGTTCAGAAAAGGAAGTGAGAACTTAGGAAAATAGAGTTTTGGCTCAAGTTTTTAAGATCCCCCACCCCCCCATACACAAAGATTTAAGTGCCTATTGTTCTTTTCGTATGGATGAATCTATTCATTATCTGCTTTGTATTAGACTGTGTATGTACAATTCTACAAGTATCCTTTTCATTATGATTCTGTACCATTCATTGAAGCCATACAGATACAGGGCAATGGAATTGTAACTAAGAACCTTATCAGAGTCTAGCAGGTAGATATGTGTTAAAGATGAGCATCATGTGTGACCAGTGAGCATGTTGGTAAAGACAAAAGTTCAAAGAAAACAGGAAAGAACCAGAATTCGGCAAAGAGATGATTTATGATCTGAAACAACAGACATTGTAACTTTAGGTAAACAGTAGTTGCTGTAGCAAACTCCTGAGTTCTTTGCAGTGGAAACACAAGAACCCTGATCTGCTTCTTGCTGTGGATTCCATACTAGACATCCCCTAAATAATTAAAGAATGCTGATCATTCCTTCCCTTACTTGACCATTTTGGGTGACTGTGATGTAGGCTGTGAAATTTCCTCTGTGTTAACAAAACAGCAAGACACTGGGCTATATTGTTCCTTGGGTAGCTTTCACAAGCAGAAGAAAATTCACTTAGATCCATACTCAGACTCCTGCACACTGACAAAAACCAAAATTAAAAGGCACAGCTTAGAAATCACAGAACTTTGTAATCAATTCTGGGTTTGGGTTTTTTTTTTAAATAAAATAGTACCTAGTTTGAACTATGCTCCAAGCCAGTCTTTTAATAGCATGTTCTAATATTCCTAAGATTTTCTAATAATATGATTTATTCTGCTCTATTATGGAATTATAATTGCAAATCACCTCAGCCTTTAATGTAGGTTACACTCTAAAATTTTATTGATGTCACTTGTTTGAATTTGCTCGTTGCTTTCCCCAGAAATAAATAAGAGCTTGTGAAGCCATACAAATATTTTTAAATAAGACAAATGTAGCAGTATTAGTTAAGTTGCTTTTAAAATACAGGATCAGAAAAGGGGTCAAATGTATCAGACCTTGTAGGGGAAGAAATACCTTTTATACATTTGTCCAGGTAACGATTGTACCCTGAGTCGCCAAGCTTTATGTCCATCCTTGTTAATTGCACACACCTCCTTATGTCCAGTGTTCTCATATTATCATGGACTTTAGGGGGACCTCCCCAGATTTGGGGATTGTCGTACTTCCTGAAATGCTTGTAGGTTATCTAATTATTGTAGAATATCTAATTATTTTCTTCCCTCTGGAGTCTAGAGGAATGCTTTTGTGCTGATATATGAGTATGTGGTACAGGAACCCTTTTATAGGATGAGGCACCTTAGAAGGCTTTGAAGTAGTGAGGGCATTGTGCAGCAGAGACAGAGAAGGGGTCACCAGTGTGTACTTATCCAGACACACCCAACACTCTGGGCTGGAGTTTATAACCTGAAGCAGTTTCTTCTTCCTTTGTTGGGGTTTTTCCTGTAATTGAACTATAGGGGGTGGACCACAGGATGCAGAGGAAGTAAAACAACAGAGATAAGATAGTAAAACAGCATGGTGGTTCACACCTTTAACCCTACCACTCAAGTTTGGAAGCAGACGCCTGTGATCTCTGAGTTCGAGGCTAGTCTTGCCTGCATAACAAGTTACAGACCAGGTAGAGCTAGCGTGAGACCCTGTCTCCAAAACAAACAAATATGAAACATTAAAGTTGTTATAGGGATGTTGTCCATGGTGGCGAGCAAGGAAGTGGAAACGGGACTCCAGCGCCTGAGAGACTGTTGCTATGGTGACTCATCCCCAGGTAGCTCCCCGCACTGGTGCATCTAGAGCCGCTTGTCTTCCTCCATCATTGTCTTCTCTCCTCCACTTTCTCTGTGTCTGACCACCGGCCTGTGCTCTAGTGTAATTCGTGGAATCTCTGTTTGGGATTCTGGCTTAGATTTGCCCGGACAGGTGGATCAGTGGAGAAAGGTGTTTGCCACACAAGCCTAATGACCTGAGTTAAACTCTAGAACACACGTAACGTAGAAGGAAAGAACCAACTACAGAAAGTTGTCCTCTGACATCCGCTCATGTGCCCATAGTGCATACATCATGCATTAATAATAATAATTTAAAAAAACCTTAAAATTCTCGACGTAGGTTCCACTCATGATTCTTTTCTAGCGCATGCACCTGTTGTATCATATGTAATTCATACAGCACGTAAGCATTTCTTGTGTCTTACAGGTAGAAAAGCTAATGCGATAGACAGTCTACTTCATTTTATAGATTGTGTAACATAAAAAACTTTCTCTCTTTGATGGTCTTTATTGAAATGGGTTGGCTCAGTGCTGTCTCCTGTCAGTGACGTCACTTTTAAAAACAGTGTCTATAAATTAAAAATGTTATTGTGCCCTTGTATGTATTATTGTCATAACTCTCATAGTTATTTTAGGAAGACCTTCTAATATAAAGTAGTGTTACAGTAATGATTCTGCCAATAATTAATATGTGTACATTAACAATGGGACAGAAGGATGGAGTATGGAAGAGTTGTCTTTACACTTGTGACAATTCGTCCTTGATTAGATGTTTAGATACATATAAAACTGACAAGTGTTCATGAAGTCAGTTAAATTTGTCATTTTTATTTGAACCAACACAAGACATTTAGTTGTGTTTATATTAGACTATAGAGAAAATGACTTTTAAAGGTAATTTTAAGATGTCTTATAAGGATGATGAGTCCAGATAAAGATGCATAAAAGTACCTCATAGTAACCTTTAGAATGAGAATTAAGAATAAATTAATTAAGAATAAATACATGAAATCCTGACACCTCTTGACTGTAGTAAAACATGTCTCTTGAAAATGCCTTATTGACATAATCTATTTAATACTTGAGTTCAACCTTAACTTTCTGTTTTAATCTTCTTCACTTTTAGGTTTCAGCAGAGCAGCCTTACCATTCGGGTTAGTTAGACGAGAACTATCCTGTGAAGGTTATTCTATAGACCTGCGATGTCCAGGCAGTGATGTCATCATGATTGAGAGTGCTAACTATGGTCGGACAGACGACAAGATCTGTGATGCAGACCCCTTTCAGATGGAGAACACAGACTGCTACCTCCCTGATGCCTTCAAAATCATGACTCAAAGGTAGATACGTGTGTACACATGTCCTGTTTTAGCTACTGTAGCCAAAGGTTAAAGTTAGTGTCTTTCCAAAGTGAACAGATGCTACCCACAGCCAAGCTTGTGAATTACTGTTAGATTTTTACTCACTAATGTTAATATCTGCATTGCATTATGTTTTCTGCAATGTTTAAATCTACATATCATCTTACTATAAATGACAGAATATATAGGAATCTAGAACACATACCTTCATTTTATAGACCATAAAATAAAAAGAAGGAAGATTTCAAATGTAAGCTTATGTCTCAGGACTTCAGAAATTTGAAGTATTTCCTATAATCATAAAGAATGTTATGTATTTGGAACTTAGTCAGTAATTGCTCCTTATCCTTATGTTGTTTTAAATGAGTTTTTTACAGCAGTATAAGGTCACATCAAAATTGAGTGGAAAGTGCAATGTTTCCATGTAACCCGACTCTGTGTGTGTGTGTGTGTGTGTGTGTGTGTGTGTGTGTGTGTGTGTGTGTAGATTCTGGTGTGGAGTTGTGTTTTCAGCTTATGTTGGTAAATGCCCAGGAGTGCAACTACTCGAATGTATAATAAAAATTCATGCAAATTTATAAGAAACCTCCATTTGGGTTTGATGTGGCTTACCTATAAATCCTGGTGCTTAGTAGGCTGAGGCAGGAGGATTGTGAGTTTTAGGCTGTTCTGGACTTCATGGAGAAGTTCTGTCCCCTGCCAGTCTTCCCCTCACTCACATTTCTAAAGGGGTGGGTGGGAGGTCTATGTATGTGTACAAACTGTCTTCCAAAGCAGCTGCTTTACCATTTTGCTCCCCTACAACCAGAGAGTGGTCAGAATTCTTACCCCACACTTACTCTGGCATTTAGTGTTGACAGTGTTTGAATCTTAGCCATTTTTAAGCATCTCCTTGTTTCAATTTGTAATTCCTTAATGATGTGCAGTGTGGGACTTATTCCCATGTGCTCTCTGCTTTCTGTTTGTGTTCCCTGAGATAGTGTCTGTTAGTTCTTAGATACTCCCCCGCCCCCCGCCATAACTCAGGCTTCTTGTTTAGTTTTGAGAATTCTTGTACATTTAGGATGGAAACTATCTTTTCAGTTATGTCATTTGTAAATGTTCCCAACATGTAACTGGGTTTTGTTCTGTGTTCTCGGTCCTTAACCTTAAAAGCAACAACAGAAAAAGGATAGATGCAAGTTCAGAAGCATCTAGCTAAGTGTGGTCCCATGTGTCCTCATGGAACTGTAGATGAAATCCTTCCAAACAGCTAAATGATCTCCGATGTCCAGGGGAACAGCTTTACCTTTACCCAACCGTGGCTGCAGGGAAGGTTATGGGTTTGGAGCAGTGTGTTCATGTATAAAATTGGCTGAAAATGAGATACATTTCTGAATGAGGACATCTGTCCTCTTCAAACAGTACATAGACAGTTCAGGTAAACATAGTCTAAGTCTAATAGGGGTCCTTTCTGTAATTCAACAAGTCCTTTCCCTTCATTACTTTATGCATTGCTCAAGATGATTCCAAGTATAAGGTAAAAGGCAAAAATATATTTTCTTCACAATTTGTAACTGAATAAATACTTTTTGCCCACAATTTGGAAAATTAAAGTTCAAGGCAATATAAAATGTGATGCCACTGAGTGTCCAATGCATCATGATTTGTGTTAAGTGTGCACATCATTTTAGATCCATCTTTAACTACATTAGAGAATTGTAATTCAGTCTACAAGAGCTGAGTATAAAGTAGGTATTTACTTAGATGTGACAGAATACCTCAATACCTGCATTGGAGTGTAATCTGAGAGCATCTGCCTCACTGAATTTGAGGAGTTTTAATTCATCCTCCTACTAAGTCCCAGTTGATTAATGACAGAAAGTAGGTAGATTCTCTTCAACGTAGCAGGGTCATGTGCCCCAGTAAATCCATTCTAAACTTAAACATGTTCAACTCAGATACATGTCTTATGGAGGCTGTTTACCATTGTAACCACACAGCTAGATGGGAGCTGAGGTATGTTGATGGTCATTGTGAGGGAGGATTTGTATATCTCTAGTCCAGGAAAAGACCAAAATTTGAGTTTTTCAAACATGTATACTTTTGCACTATGGTGAGGCTAAAGAAAATCCTGAACTGAGCATCGTAGGCCAAGGCCAGCCTATGTTGGACACAAGGCACCTAACTCTTGGCATTGTGTTTTTAACACTTTGGAGTTGATGGCAGCTCAGTGATTTGTTGTCATTGTGACCAACTAGATCAGCAGCACCTCCATTCCAGCACTGCTTTGACCAGAGGCTTCCAGTATTTAGAAAGTAGTAAGTATGCCTAATGGACACCTACGGGTCACATAATTTAGCTTTATTTTTACTTTTAAATTTTGTGGAAGAAAAACCCTTGAACTTAATAGTCATTGTTTCCCCACTCTCTCCTGTGTCCCTTCCTCTGGGACACAGTATCATAATGAGATTCTGACTTGATTAGCAGGTCACCCAGGAGAATAACATGCATTCTGTGTGGGGGTGGTCAGTACAGACACCGTGCAAACATGTGATATGAGGATATGAAAAGGATATGAGGGATGAAGGAAAGAAATGCCAACACTCCTCCTCAATTGTCCACACTGTAATAAGAGTATGTATTCTTAAGAGGAGAGATTGGGATGGAAGGTATCAGTATATTTGAACTGACAGTCTTTATAGGCAGATTTTCAAATGTGAATACTGGCTTGCTAGATCTTTTTGAGACACCAGAGAACATCGCCAAAGTTTTAAAAGTTCCATAGAAGTGGTCTAACTTCAGTTCTTAAGGAATTAGCATTGAGACTCTGAGACACCGACACCATCTCGGTTGCATTAATAGTGCTTGACAAAGATACTTTTGCTTAAGCCTGAATTGCAAACGAGATGTGTAAGATTGCAAATCTAATCACTGAACAGATCTACTGTTTAGTGTTCTGCTTCATTTGGTAAAAAAGGTTCTGTGAGTTCAGTATCTATAAGAGCAAGTCTGGGTCGTAGCATAGTGGTACCAATATGGGGTTCTCCAAGTTCAGCGTCCAAAATAGAAAATCTGAATCATAGCATAGTGATACCCATGGTACCACAAACAGAAAATGCTACCATATGGAATTCTGTGTGACAGAATCGCAGTCAAAGCATACTTTTGCTGAAAATACTGTGAGGTTACCTCCTGACTATGTCTAAGGTACACGTAAAACAATGAATTCTGAGTCTTTACTTGTGTCTTATCTCCCCAACAACTTACTATGTATAATAGGCAAGCCTTCCATACTCATAAAAATAATCTGAAACATCTTTGCTTCAAGTTCTTTCAGCTGAGAAACCCTAAACACAGAGGACATTTTGCACATGTTGTTTCAAGTTAGGGGAACTGTCTGTGCCCTGCATATATTATGACACATTAGTAACTAATCATTTCTCCATTTCTCTTGTTGATCCACTTGTTCAACAATAGTCATAAGACATCTGGAAGCAGGCCCGGCAGGAACAGAAAGTGAAGAACTTGTTATGAATGATTACCTGTTTTCACTATACTGATAAAGCAGTGAAAGGCAGCGAAATGCTGCTGTTCCTTGCTTGCCAGACGTGCACACACATGCACATATTTAGTGCATAGCAAATACCTACTACATGTGTCAAACTTACTGTTCTTGTACAGGTGAACTTCACTAGAGATGTAAAAAGCATACAAGATACCATATGAAGTTGTTGCCATTGGTTCTGAGTACACGAGGACTCCTTTCTTGTTGCTGCTATACTTCGAAAGGATTTAGATACTGAAAAAAATTTAAATTTGGGGAATGGATGTTGTTGACCTGTCTACCACTATTATCAGATCTTGAAAAGGTATATGGGGTATTGGCATCAATAAAGGAATAATTCCAAAAAGAGCAGCTGAAGCCCCATTTTTAAACAGCCGTGTACTTGTGGCTTACAATTATTTAATCAGCAGAGTGACAGTTTGAACATAAACACTATTGAAAAGGGGAAGACAAGATTGAGATGATTTCAAAAACATTTTCATAGTGGAAGCTTGTAAGTACCCTATTCATTGTATGTCAAGATGTAAATCATCAGGAAGTCTGTCATATTTGACTGGTGTAGTTGGAAGAACCATAAGAAAACCAGGGAGGCAGTGTTTTTGCAGCTGGATTCTCAATGAGTAATTATTGTGCACATACAACCAGTTGACTCTGGAAACACAAAGCCTCAAGTAGTTTGGTGAATTTTTCTATCTATGAGCTCTCAAAAAGTGAATCTTTGAATGGTGTACCAAAGAGAGGCATTTTTGTTTTTTTTAACATAGAAAATTTCTTTTTGGAAAGCTCAAATAGATACACTAGAAATTCTTCATTGAATTGCAAAGCTACCTTTCTGCATAAGGTGAGGGACACAAACTGTTGTGTTTGCTTTGCATGCCAGAGCCTTCGTTCCTGTTTTCCACCATTACCACCTCATCAGTTAAGAATCAGGTCACTGGGTTTCCATTCCAGATTGTGGAAGTGAAATTATTGTTACTCTGTTTTCTATTTTCTTGATCATTTAGAAGAGTGAACAGTACCTGTATTAGTAAATATGAGAAATATTTAATTTGTATGCTTGTCTTTAAAATATTCTCAGTAGTTCATCCTAAAAAAGTTGAATTAAATTCTTTCCTTGAAAAGATTTATTTATACTTGAATAAATTATTGGACAGTCACTGTTACAGATAATGGTGGCTTTATAACAATCTTTGAAAATAATTGTGGGGACACCTTCACATAAAACAGTTAGAACTCTTTCAAGTAAGTAACAAAGAGATTTCTGCTCCACTCTGAAGCTTTGGTTAATAAGCAAATTACAGTTTTGTTGGAGGGTCTGAATCTCTATGACACTTGGGTGCAGCCTGCTGGGCACCGGAAACTCAGGTGCGCCTGGTAGGAAGATTGTTCTGTGTTCTCACTCTGCTGCCTGCCAGAGCAATTGCCAGGCACC